TTGTTTTTAAAGGGCCATCGTCTCAGGGACCTACTAATGTCTATCAGACCAGTAATCCTGGACTTAACAATTTTTTTAAAAATCGAATTTTGTTCCTCATTTTTCTCCAGTGCTATCCAGGACTTCCTGTCCTGACCCCTTTCAGAGCCCTCCACAGGAGTAGCTGGGCACCACCCGCTCTGGACCCAGCGTGGTGGAGACCGATGTTCCCGATGTTGAAAGCCCACGACGCCCTTAGACTGGTTGATTCCACGCGCCTTTGATCTGCCTCACTTTTGCTCCTCACTTTTGCTCTGGCTGCCGAGAGGCAGTAGCAGTTGTATCTTAGGAGGCCTTTCGGTGCCTAGACTTTTACCTCACCCAGGTGCGAGATGTGGTACTAACACATTGTAGCAAACCATACACGGAGAATACATTTGAATTTTTCTTTATGCATTGGAGAAGCGTAAATATCACTATTTACTTTTTCCCTTTTGTACCAACAACAGATGCTCTTAAGCCTTTTCTTTTCATGTACATATTTTTGACTTTAGCATATTAGAAATCATCTGTCTTAAATTTTTTTTTCATGTTTGCACAAAAAAGGAACACGATTAGCACCAACTTAAATCCACGTTGATTATAATAAAATCCAAATGCAATGAATAATTTTACCATGAATATCTCAGTTTTTAAAGTTCATGGACTTACTCCTTTCATTTTAATTGTAATCTGACTTTCTCTCTACCCTTTATCTTCCCTGTTAGGATTCTTTCCAGCAGCTGGAGACCTTAGTCTTCCATTATGTCTATGTGTGAAGACATGCTGCTTTGTAATTATCGAAAGTGTCGCATTAAACTCTCTGGTTATGCTTGGGTAACTGCCTGCTCTCACATCTTCTGTGATCAGCACGGCAGTGGTGAATTTAGTCGCTCACCAGCTATCTGCCCTGCCTGCAACAGCACCCTTTCTGGAAAGCTAGATATTGTCCGTACAGAACTCAGCCCATCAGAGGAATACAAAGCCATGGTGTTGGCAGGACTGCGACCAGAGATTGTGATGGACATTTGTTCCCGAGCACTGGCCTTCTGGACTTACCAGGTTAGTACTTGAATTAGTTACTCTGGAAAGTATGATTTGAGTCATGTGGAAGCTTCCAGTGTTTGTCCTTCAATGTTTTATGAATGTATGAAAACATTCTCTCTAATAAATTGTTTTCTCTTTAAAAAAAATCATTTTATTGGGGGCTCTTACAGCTCTTATCACAATCCATACATCTATCTGTTCTTTGAAGCACATTTGTACATGTGTTGCCATTATCATCTTCAAAACATTTTCTTTCTACTTGAGCTCTTGGTATCAGCTCATTTTACCCCTCTCCGTCATGAAACCTTGATAGTTTATAAATTTTTAGTTTTTTCATCTCTTACATTGACTGCTGTCTCCCTTCACCCACTTTTCTGTTGTTTGTTCCTCTGGGAGGGTGTTTTCTATTTCACTAGACTTTTTCTATGAATGAATATATTTCTGTACAAAACTAGGATAATACCACATGTACTGCTTTTATGGACAGAGTTAAAACATTATGAATGTGGTATTAACATTTTAAGATAAATATTCTGGATCTTCATTTCAATGGTTACATTGTATCATAATTTATTTCCAAGTTATAAAAAATGCTGCATTAAATATTCTGAGTCAAATTCATATCCTTAATTATTTGGGGTAAGATTAAATTCCTCAAAGAGGATAAATGCATTTCAGAAGTCTTAAAAAAAAAATTACAGTATTTTCAAATTGTTTTTAGTAAGTCTGTGTTAATTAACTTGTGCTCTCTCACAAACCTCTGATAGTGGTTGGTTCTCAATACCTACTCACAAATTTGATATAGATATAGATATAATCTTATTGCTCTTTAAATTTGTTTGATGACTTGTAGGAAGAACATGGTTTCTTTTATTTTAATTCATTGTGCTGATTCAATTTGTCTTGTTTCAATTCCTGTATTTTCTACTAATTTGTAAGAATTTTCTGTATATATAAGTAACTCAAATGTTGCAAGAGATTTGTTTTTCAGTGTGTCTGTCATTAGTCTTTGTTGACTTTTTTGACATACAGAAGTTTAAAATTTTCATATGTTCAGAATTTGTTTCTTTTTTTTAAATTGTTTTACTAGGGGCTCATACAACTCTTATCACAATCCATACATACATCAATTGTGTAAAGCACATTTGTACATTCATTGCCCTCATCATTCTCAAAACAT